TTTGTTGTTAGTATTCAAGAGATTTGGAGAGACCAAACAACGTATAGAGGCTGATTCCGCCATGGAAAGAAGCTCTGGTCTTCACCAAGCAAATGTCAACGTACCTTATCTTATATTACTATCAAGTAGCAACCATCACCACAAGTCTTTTTGGCGCTCGACGTGTAATTTTCTCATACTTATTATATAAACAAACAAAAAAAAAAATTTACAAAGTAAATAGGGTCAATTTGTGTAATAGCCAACAAAAAAAATTATAACTCATAACCTAGCCAAAATCCTTAAATTTAAGGGCTGAGATTCTGCCACAGATTTTGCCACATAGGGCTGTTGGCTAGTTTGTAAGTTATAATTTTTTTTATGGTTATTTAACCAATTAACCCTTGTAAATAAGCTTGGAAGTAACTCACAAGTTGTTATGACATCTTGAGAAGAAAAAAGCTATGCAAATCTTATCTGTTGTAAAGAAAACAAATTAACGTGTTCTTCTGACGTTTCTTCCCACAATATGGGTTTCACTAATCTTCTGTTCTTTCTAAAACAAAAGTAATATTAATAAGAAAAAATCACATTTCAAGAGATACAAGAGGCATAAGCTTTCAAGGCCAAGCAAAGTCAATCTCGTTGTTGTCAACATCCCATACTCCAAGACCTATCTCATCAAACAACTGCTCATAACTCCAGCTTGAATATCCCAAGAAAAACCAGTAATCACTTGGATTCAGATCTCTAGATTTCAACTCTTGGATTCGACGGGCCACCGACTCATGATCTAGGAAATACACACCTGGTGAGAGTTGATCGTCCGTGGACGAGTCTCCCTCTTTGCTCAGAGCTAAAAGTGGGTTTCCTGGATCCACCATCGGACCTCCGAACGATAGAGCAGTCTCTTTCAAGAGCTCGGCTGTTTCGCCGAGCTCAGGGAATGATTTCCACCTTAACCGTTTGTTGAAGATTAGACCCAGGAAACCGGATTCGTGGCCTGCTTTTATGATCAGAATCTTTGATTTGCCAAACGGTTGAGAGGCAGCTAGCTTCTCTGTAGCGACCAGGATTGTGCTGGATTTCACTTGGGGAGCGGTTTTGAGCGAGTGCGTTGGAGGCGATTGAGAATTGACCTGCTCATGGTTTAACTCTCTTTCAGCAGGCTCTCTGTTCCTTAAAACGACTTCAACAAGTTTATCACCGTCTGTCACTTTATTGTTTACCACGGATGAAGATTGATCGAACTTGTTTGAATTTCTTCTTCCTTTTCCAGACAGAGTAGGAAGGATTCCTGTCAGAGAAAGATTCATAAGTTCATAACTTTGCTTTGTTTAAGCTCCAGAT